GGAGTTCCGGGAGTCCGTTTGAGGCATTCTAAAAATCGCCGGAAAGCTAAGAGAGAGAGCTACGACTTTCGTGTTGGAGTCGAAGTCAGATTCGGAGCCCAAAATTCCAGAATTTCGTTTGAAGTTACAGCATTAGGAATTTGTTTTAGTTTTGGGTCATGTTTTGGGTCTGGGTTATATTTTCGACCCAGTTGGGTTATGACCCGAATTCTGGTTTTTATCCTCTTTAGTCTAGGTCTGGCCGTACAGGCAAAAATCCTATTCACATTTCACGAAAAAATTGATGTTGGAGAGAACAATGGAGAACTAATCACTCTGAGTCGGTCTACCGTAATTCAGGTTCAAACACTTGAGATTATTATAATATTATTATCTGTTTAATTCCGTTCAATGATTTTGTACTCTTGTATGCTTAATTCAATTGTATGAAATATATTGATTTGATTTGGTTGATTGTATGATCCTAACATAGACACTTTTACGTTTGCTTAATTCGTTTTTGTGTCTGAATAATCATGTTTGCTTAATTCATGAAGCTTTTTACCGTTTGCTTAATTCGGACAATAGGATCATATATCTTGCAATCCTTATCGCGCTTGCCGTTAAGCTTGTATCCAAATAGGAATGAACGCGTAGAATATTAATATTATAGTAATCGATGATAGTAGGAACCGAATCGGTAGATTGATTTATTTCATAATCACTTTTTTTACAACAGCTTATTTTAATAATCATTTTTTTTTGAATCAGAAACCAAACCAACCCCCCTATTACGATTTCAGTGGATTAATTACAAACAAGAATCCTTGAGACGATATCCGAGTTTAATTGTCGTTGTACTGCATTTTTACAAAAATTACTCGTTTTTGATCCGCGAGCGACCGCGGATCAAATTGGCGCCGTTGCCGGGGATTCTTGTTGATTTAGCCAATAATCTAGTTTTAGGTTTTGTTTGTTTTAATTTTCTGCATTTTTGTGTATTTTCTTGCGTTTTCGCGTCCGGCCGTCCTGTTTCTCGTCAGACCAAGTAAAAAAAAACAGATTTTGGGCAAATCGCCTTCTTTTTGAGATCTGTTTCGTGAACTTGAAGCAGAAAAATAGTACGATCAAAAGTCCTTAACTCTAAAAGAGTTATAGGAGTTGGCCCCTCGAATCGCCAATTCCTCTTTTTTCTATTTTTAATTAATTTTTTACTGTTTTCACTATCTCAAAAAAATCCAAAAAAATTTCCAAAATTCGTATTTGATCTAATTAGGTTAAATTTTGTGTTTTTAGATTTTTTTTTCGATTTTATTTTAACCATCTTCCTTCTTTGAGTTTGATTCTGACCTATAGGGACATTGTGGGAATTATCGGATTTGTTGCTGTATTTGCAATCCTGGCCATAATCTTTGATGCAATGAGACATCCCATGGAAGAGCATTCAGTGTTTCAGATTGAGTTACTTTCTGACTTAGTAGACGATACACTTTTCGAGTTTTTATCTGATTTTCCGTCTTTACTAGACTATGATGATATTTTCTCCTGTGATGTGTGCACTAACACTAATGTTTGCTCTACTTGTGCCGAGATAAATACTGCATTGCGGACTGATATTTTGCAGGTGGATAAGGTTATCGATGAAGTGGTTTGTGCAGTTGAGGCTCTGGACGTTCCTGCTGCCCCGACCATCCCATCTATTGAGCAGCCCCCTTCTTTAGAACTCAAACCTCTCTCAGAAAATCTCAAACATGCCTTCTTAGACATAAATGATAAGCTTCCTATTATTATTTCAGCTAACCTTGATTTCAATCAAGAAAGTAGGCTTTTGCAGGTTTTAAAGAGGCACAAAAAGGAAATAGGGTGGGCCTTGGCGGACATTCCCGGTATTAGCCCTTCCAGGTGCATGCATCAGATTCTGCTTAAAGAAGGAGCTAAATTAGTGAGACAGCCCCTTAATCCTTTTATTCTTGACGTGAAAAATGAGATCATGTTCACATGCCCATTCGACACATTTACGTATCGAAGGACCTTCTTTGATCCTGGAATAAAAGACGAAGGCATTACTAAAAATTTCAAAAATAATGGTCACTGCCCAAAGCTACTCCATGAGAGCCCCACTTTGGAAGAAGAGACTGCAGAAGAGCTCTCTTTAGAAAATGCTGCTTATGCAATCATCTATCCATCTTGACTCCTCGGGTGTGTTCTTTCCTATCTCTCCTCACTTTTATTTTATATTTCTGTTTTTTCATTGAGGACAATGTATGTTTTAAGTGTGGGGAGAGAACAATTTCTTTGTTTCGTTTGTTTTCCTTGTTTTTGTTAGTGTTTTGTTTGTTTTCAGTCAAATAAAAAAATGCATCTTCTTGAAAGTTTGAGGCTATAGTCTAATTTGAGATTAGTTTACGGAGACCTGGGAAAAATTCACAAGATCGGTATCGTCTTAACAACGTAAGTCTCCTGCATATGGAAATTGATTTGAATTCTTATTATGGTTTAGCCTTGAATTTTCATTCTCTGACAGCTCTTGAGTAGTTTATTTCAACAGTCAGCACCATCTCATACACACTCTACGCAGGGAAGCTGATGAATATAAGTGAGTGATCAAATTGAAAAGAAAAAAAATAAAAAGAAAAAAAGAAAAGAAAAGAAAAAGTTGAAATTTTTTTATTACTCGTTAGTTGGTTCAGCGGTTTCTGGTGCTGAACTTGGTAGGGCGGATTACGGTCCGATCCCCCGCAACTACAATTAAGTGAGCAAAGCCACGTAAGTACCAGAACCCAAAACAAAAAGGATCAGAGTCACTAACAGGTCGCCTTGCTATGAGTGTGTGGAGATAACGGGCTTAATGTGATTGCGCCTGAATGAAAAAGAGCAAAAAGGAGGAAGAGTAAGTACAATTGTGGATTAGTGTTCCTACGATATCCTTAATGTGTAAGATTAGTACCTATCGATGCAAACTTAACCGAAGAAGACTTACAGCTTGGAATGAGTAATTGTTGATGTGTTTGTGCTTTCTTTGTTTTGTTTTATTTTCATTTTGCTCGGAGAGCAAAAGTTCAAGTGTGGGGGAATTTGATCCGTGCATTTTGATGCACGTTCTTCCATGTTTTTACTCAAGCATTTCTTTGATTTTATTTATTTATTTTTATGTTTTAACGTGTTTTTATATTTTATTTTATTTTCGCATTTAATGCACTGATCAAATAAAATAAAATAAAACAATTAAATGCAAAAATAAAATAAAATATAAAAACACGTTAAAACATAAAAATAAATAAATAAAATCAAAGAAATGCTTGAGTACAAACATGGAAGAACGTGCATCAAAATGCACTGATCAAATTCCCCCACACTTGAACTTTTGCTCTCCGAGCAAAATGAAAATAAAACAAAACAAAAAAAGCACAAACACATCAACAATTACTCATTTCAAGCTGTAAGTCTTCTTCGGTTAAGTTTGCATCGATAGTTACTAATCTTACACATTAAGGATATCGTAGGAACACTAATCCACAATTGTGCAGACATAAACCTCCTGAATATACAAATCAACTTGAATCATGTTATTATGCTGAAGCCTAACTTACTCTTCCTCCTTTTTGCTCTTTTTCATTCAGGCGCAATCACATTAAGCCCGTTATCTCCACACACTCATAGCAAGGCGACCGATTAATGACTCTGATCCTTTTTGTTTTGGGTCTGGGTTATATTTTCGACCCAGTTGGGTTATGACCCGAATTCTGGTTTTTATCCTCTTTAGTCTAGGTCTGGCCGTACAGCCAAAGATCCTATTCACTATTCACGGAAAAAAAATTATTGGGAAAGCTTGTAAACGCATGGAGAACTAATCCTCCTTGGACGGATTCACTGTACTCAGGTTCAAACTTGATCTGTGTTCCCAATTTTAATCGTAGATTAACTCTGCTTAACTGTTAATTTGCTTTATCATTTACCGTATGCTTAATCCGGCCATAGGAACATGTTCTCATAAAATCAACCACGCTTGTTGACTGATTTTTCGTCAAATAGGATAGAATTCCCGCTTGGGAAATTGTATTTTCATCGGTCGATGATTAGTAAGAACCGAGGCAACAACTTATTTTAATAATCAATTATTTTAAGTACTTTTTCTTCTTAATCGGAAACCTACATCAAACCAAACCCCCCATAATTTGTTATTGTAATTGGTTATTTCGTTACAAGAATCCTTGAGAACGATATTTCGAGTCACTGTCGCTATACTAACATTTCTTACAACAAACTCGTTTTTGATCCGCGAGCGACCGCGGATCACTTTATTTTCAATTCATGCTACTTTATCGTGTATTTCAACTTTATTTATGTCATTTTTGAACCATCTGAATTTATATACGTCATCTTTTGCATATCAATTGTATGATTTAAATCTCGTCACATAACAAGAGCTTCTCCGGCAAACCACTAGAAGTACTCATCGAGTCGAGCATAAGCAAAACATAGCAAAAGATGACGTATATAAAAATTTTCCAGAAAAAAAATCTGTGATAAATAAATTTGAAAGAAAACAAAAAAAATTTACAGTTTATCGTCAACCTCTCTTTGATTGAACAAAGAATTTTATACTTAAAATTAATAGATAAGTATTTGTTGCCAAAACAATTGATTAATGCTAATGCTTCATAGACGAGTTATTTTATTGTTTAGTTTGTGGAACCAATTACAGGTTACCTAATTGTGCTGGGAAATGTTATGGAAGAAGACTACAATAAAAAACACATATCCTTGCTCTTGTTATGTTTCATTAATCTTTTTAAGATACAAATGTATTTGAATATGCTTAACATCAAATTCAATAAAAGGAAGAAGACAAGACACCAGAAAAATTACACTGTGGAGGATATCCATGTATTAAAAGATGGACACCTACACACATTTACATAACTATAAGGCATACCTTGAATTTGATTTACAGGAACTGAAGCAGTTGAACTTTGAAATATTCAACTGCTTTGAATTGAATTATAAGTCACTTTCGTAATTTACATCTGTAAACGTAGCAAGTATGTTTCCTCTAATAACAATCGGGAATTGGCAGTTTCAACCATCTGAAAAAGAAGACGAAGATGCCACAGTCAAGCAACAACCCGTTGCAGAAAATTGAAAATATAGATGCCCCAACAAATTACATTACCTCGAAGCCCATCTTTTGGTACAATAACTGTCCAGGCATGTTATTTCTGTCAACATGCACATATACTTGCCTCACACCTGCTGAATGAATCGATGAATATATATGGACATAAACTAAAAAGTTATTCCAACTTAAATGTTTATATTACCGTTAGATTTTGCAGATTCAATGGCAAAATACATCATGTTGCTTGCGATTCCTTGTCGGCGAGCCAATTTGGTAACACATAAGTTAGCAATGTAACCGTATCTACTTGGTGGTGTCCTGTTTGTGCTGCAAGAAAAAGGTGTCTTAACTCGTTCCTGCATAAATGATGACTAAGTCGTGAAAAACTTGAACACCATCATCAGTCTAGACAGAACAGCAGATAAGAAAGAATGTGTAGTACCCCGGGAAAAGTCTCTCCTTGCAGCAAATATCGGATATTCAAATCAAGTGTTCCAACAACACTTTTTATTATCGAGCGCTTTACATTCTTCTGCTCCTTCCTCACCTGATAAACTTGACTCCAAACACCGTTAGTCGAAAATATACTCAAGAACACAACAGGTAATGTTAAAGTAATACATTCCTAAACAATAAGATGAGATTGATTTACATCAGAATCTAAGATGAGATTGATTTACCGCGATAATGCAAGCACAGCTATCCCCATTTTGAGCCTTGCATCGCCTTTTTACCGCATTAAATTCCTAAACAATAAGGATTCATGTTAAAATTTTCATGAAAGACCTTACGCAGTGCACATTGAGGAAATTAATCTGTAAACTCCTACCTGCTCGGCAAATTTCCTTTTGTAGATATCAACATATCTGGAGAAAAAAAAAACATAATGCCAATTATTACCACCAAAATTTACATCTATTGTGAGTCAAACCAAATGAATTACACCCACCATTGGCAGGGTCATTCATACTTCTTCCTACATTCTACTGTTTATTAAATCGAATTTTTGATATTATGCATCTTGATCTGGCTCATCGTCTGTTCTCAATACAAGTGTGTTAAAATTTGCTCAATTCATATTTTGTATAATAACAACAAAATACACTTCAATGAAAGGAACAAATTGTTTCAATTCATTCTTCAGAATCCTTATTTATGAAAGAATATTGCTTTCGGATATGTGCTGTATCATACCTTTCATATGTTCGATTCTCCCAATGACTTTCTGCCCTTAGCCAGGCTGCTGTCTACCACAGATTTCAAAACATACAAATAAATAAAAGAAAATGCTAGTTTTTGTACAATATTTCTCTCACAAAAGTACAAATGAATGGTAAAGGATTGGTTGAAAAAACACACAAAAGTACAAATGAATGGTAAAGGATTGGTTGAAAAAACACACAAAAGGAGTATGCATTTATAAAACAAATTTTTCTTTGACTCCAACATTTTGTTAAGCTTTTTTCTTTTCATCCTCAATTACTAAATATCATTACTTATCAATCTACCATTAAAAGATGCACCAAGTGAATCGACATTTCAGTTCATGAAATTGTAGAAATGTAGCCATTGAAATTAACAATCAAACATCACATTAGTTCTTTCAGATTGGTCTATTTAATCTCTAATACTGCTCTAAAAGCAGAGTCAAACCCGAATAGCAGTGTCGAGCAATCAACCCCAAAAATGAATAGTAGGATATCATATGGCGGGATGGCTGCTATTTGATATTTTTTGGACAAATTACATAATTAATAATTATAAGCATGTAAAATGCATAGGGAAGAAAGAAGTGCAAAGAGAGGTGAGAAAAATTGTGATTTCTCTTTGGAACGACTGAAGTGCAAAAACATCATGAAGTAAGGTTAGTGTTGAGTCTCAACTCAAATTTGATTGAAAAACCCAAAATAGTTTTAAATTTAAGGGGTAGTTTCAGCTTTTTTCGTAAGAAAAAGGATAGCGGGACAGAAACCTGCTATTGACCCTATAACGGCTGTATAGTGTTATACATTACTAAGTCTCTTCTCATAGTGGTTGGCCTCCACTCCGCTATAGCTGGATAGCAAGAGTATTAATATGATTGAAAATTTTCAATTTCAGACATCATTTTACTAAAATTTTCTTAATTTCTAGACCAAATTGTTTAACCCTACAATTTCAGACACTAAATTGATTATTAACTCTAAACTAAACACACTCCTAATATTTTTTCATATATCCAACAGTTCATAAAAACATACCCAATACTCTTCATCAAGCACAGCATCTCTAGCTACAAATTGCCCAAACTCAAACCTATTTTCGCGAACCAATTCATAATCCGATGGCTGCAACCGATCGAATCGAAGACCGTCGGAGCTCAAACTTTCTTCCACTTTAGGAACAGGCGAAATCGAAAGCTGCACCGAGACCGAGAGTTCATCCTTCTTCTTCTTATTCTTCATGTCACTATTACCATTCACTGTTGACGAAAATCCTGAATCCATAGACCTATTATTCATATCCAATAACAATTAACAAACACAAAAAAAAATTAAAAATTAATAAAAACCACTAAGAATTTGAAATGAAACTTACATAGTCCATGAAGCGGTAATTTTAGTAGGTGTTGTAGATCCATTGAAAAGCAAAATACGAAATTCAGGTTTTTGAATTGGAAAAGTTGACATAGGAGACATGAATTTCATCTAGGTTAGTGAAAAATGGAAGAAAAATTAAAATAAGGATTTAAATAAGGGAGTTAATGGTGTTTGGTGAAAGTGAAAAAGTAGGCGCTAATTGATTTTGATTGAGAAGCATAAAGTATTGGGAAGAAGAACGTGGTTTTAATTTTGACGGTGTTGTTATTCGCCGGCGCGGATTTGATGACGTCACCGGCGGGGACGGGGAGAAAGTGAGAATTAATGGAATGGATAAATGTGTCTATCCATTTTGTTTCAACTATATGTAACCACGTAGGCTTTCTGTTTTCAGTACCTAATTTTTTTGACAATATATGAACCAATTTATCTATATACCAAAATTAGGTGAATAGATGTGTAGATATGACGAACTTATGAATATTTATTTTTGATATTAAAATTTGGATAAGGCATAAATAGTACATAGATAACAAACTTCAATGTACAATATATGGACAGATATTTATGTTTGGTAAGAAATGGCATAAGATAATAGATGAACTTAACGGCAGATAAGATAAATGATTTTTTGACAAACTACTAGCGTGTTTTGTAATTGTTTTGGAAATATAAAATTACAAACATAAATTTTTATTTGAGATTAATGGATATGCAGTACTAAAATAGTTTTAATATTTTTCTGCTACTTCTTACTTTTTTGAATGACTATATATGATAATATATTATGGTATTAAAATATATTTTTGTTGTCCTATTTTTTAAATAAAAAAATTTATAAAAAATTACACATACAAAATAATCATTAAAAAAAATAGATAGAAAGAATAGGATAATGGTACTTTAAAAGAAAATAAGATAGAACAAATAATACAGAGTTATACATAATTTTTTTGAAATTAATAAAAAATAATATTTTTCGGATGGGATATAATATGGATTTGAGGGATTTGTGAAAAAATCTGAGTAGTTAGATCAGTTATGAGGATTGGAGTTCTAAATATGTGGGTAGAGTTAGGGTTAAGGTTTCATAGATGAAAAAATAGAAGGGTTTGGATTTGGATAGATTTGTGGATGGCAAATTAGTCCAGGGTTGATTTGATGATTTGTTGAAGATGAGATTCATAAAGAGATGGAGGTCTGAGTTTAATTTTCTAGATTTGGTGGTTGTTTAGGGTAGAAAGTTGTTAAGAAGGATGAATGTGTTCGAAATTTGTATTGAAGTTCTTGATTTATCTGCGTTTGTGGATGAAGGTTTAGAAAGAGGTGCTTGAAGATATGAATGTTTGGGTTAGTTTTATTGAATTTTCTGGAATATTCTTGAATATTAGGTGTTATTCTTGAGTTTTTTGAAAAAAATGATGAATATGTATGGATTTATAGGAACGTATATGAGTGTAGAGTGAAAAGATTTCAGAGTGATGAGAACGGAAGAGAGAAAGGAAATGTAACACAATCTCGAAACAGAGAAGAAGGAACATGTGTTGAGCAAAAAAGAGAGGCAGAGTAAATGTGTCATTTTATTCACTGCAAAAAACACGTAATCAGTTAACGATACATTTTGTATGAGATATTTCAGGCTTCTTACTAATATTGGATTTTTTAATTTTTAATATTATTAATTACTTTACAAAATATCATAATTATTTATAGTAAGAATTTATTATCATATATTTGTCACTAATATTTTAATATTAATAAATATTTATCAAATTATAATTATAATTTAAAATTATTTTACAATTTACATATTTATCGTGTATTAATAATAGTGTTGGTCTTAATTTATTTAAAACAAATTTGAGTTATTAAATTTATTCTTTAATTTAAAAACTTGGTAAATAAAAAAATATGAAGTGAAACTTTTGTAGAGTTATTTTAATTGAAATTAAAATTAATTCAATTATGTTTAAAGTAAACTAAAAAAAATTTAATTTGTATGAATGAAGAAAGAAAAGAATGCACGTTTTAATATTGTATTATCTCTATTTTAAAATAATAATTGACTTATTTAAAAGAAAATAAATTAAAATAAATGATTCATTGGATATTTTTTATTTTTGTATTTTAAAATTGATTTGCATAACTTTGTATTCAAATTATTTTATTATGTATTAAATATAAATAAATACAAGCCTGATAAAGAAATAAATAAATATGACAATTTACTCTAAAACTAACTTAAATATTAAAAATTAAAAGGATTTATCAGTGGTTATTTTTGAGTTTTCTGAAAGAATAAAAAACACGTGTTGCTATATATAATTAAAAATAAAAAAATAAAAAAATAAAAAAAATTTATAAAAAAATTCAAGTGTATTATGTCTACGAGATACATCTTATGAATATTTAACCTAAACTTATGCAATTCATTAGTATTTCTGATGCAATTCGTATCATAATTTTTTTGAATACTATTATTAATTACGTTATAAAATATTGTATAGTAAGAATTTATTATCATATATTTGTATTGATATCTAAAAATTAAAAATATTTATCATATTAAAATTATAATTTAGAATTGTTTTACTATTTACATATTTATTATGTGTTAATAAATAGTGTTTGTCTTAATTTATTTGAAATAAATTTGAAGTTATTAAATTTATTCTTTAATTTCAAAACTTAGTAACTGAAAAAAGTGTGAAAAATAACGAAATCAAGACTTAAAGCTTCAAAGTGTGAAATAGAGAAAGTGTGAAAACTCGTTTGATCTTGTTCGTTCGAGTGATCAATGTCTTGTAAATACACAAGGGTATTTTTGGATGAATTATGGTTAAATCACACACACACTTAAAACATTGATAATCATATATATTTTTAATAAAAATAACCAAACAAATATTTTAGAGACTAGTCAGTTGCTTATGGAACTGTTTGCTTAGTTAAAAAATCATCCTGGTATAAATTTTGGTCCAGTATGCCTGTATAAAATAATGGTTCGATTTAGTGGATATCCAAGTTATATATATATATATATATATATATATATATATATATATATATATATATATATATATATATATATATATATATATATATATATATAGAGAGAGAGAGAGAGAGAGAGAGAGAGAGAGAGAGAGTAATATCATACAAGTGTTATTAATTGGTACTGGTACAATCATAAGTGTCTATTGGCATCATTTACATACTTGTCCAATATACAAAACAAAATAAATATAATATGGTACAAGATATGGAAAGTTCCAAAAATAAACTAAGATCTAAGCATAATATTGTCATTGTACAAGATCCACAACTGAAGACCACAACAAAAGCTTCCCTTGAAACATCAATGCACAGGTCCTCTTGTATACTAAACATGCAAATAATACCTAAAAAGCAACAACAATATTGAGGTGAGATGATAATCTCAGCGAGTTCCCTATCATATGGTTTCACTCGACTCTATAGGGTTCTAATCAAATCCTAACTCAAGTCTTTGTCTCTTATTACTTATGTATCATCACACAAAGTAACTAAGACTTAAGTGTCTAGGGGATACTCGCAATGTATGGAAATGTGTCTCTTGAGTTCATCAACTCAACCAATCACTAATCAAAAACCATACCAATGCGTCTTTCCTCGGCAAGTCCTACGTCTAGGGCTATCAACTCAGGTCACTGATCCTTGTATCATAGGTATCTTTCCCCGACAAGCCCTCTATCTAGGATTATCGACTCGGGTCACTGATGCATATCTCATACTTTGACATACGCATGGATTTCATATTCTAAGGGACAACATCTACTTTTAGAATTGTCGCTTCCTATGGGACTATTAACCCATTTCAAGCCTTTTTTTCACCCACTATGAAATCCATCGTCTTTGAGACTCAAGCCCAAGTCATTCAAGTATGAGTGTATACATTGACATACGCATGGATTTAATCCACTGCTTTTGGGACTCAAGCCCAGGTCATTCAGGTATCGGTGCATACATCTCAATCTTACTCTATATAAGCATCATGACTTGGGACAGCAGAATCAAGGAGTTGTTTTCGACTATATGATTAGATAAAACACAATGTGATCGTATTCAACAATCACAATGTGACCACATTCACCAATTCTCGTAACTATAAAATCATGTTCCATACAAAGCATGTTTGTTCATGACTAAACTATAATTCTAGCTACTACTTGTCCACGGTACCCACCGAGGTACCCTTACGTTCAAGCATCTCCATCTAACTCAATCATCATACCCTAATTATCTTTCTAATTCAATTACCTAGTTATATCCTAGGTTTTCACACTCATTTTTATAAGTGTTTAAGCATGTTATTCCATAAATCAAACATCCAACCAATATATATTCCACAATATCATACATGAAACACGCATAATAGCATAACATATCACAATAATTCTTAGGTTACACAAGTGGTTATGCACAACAAGTCAACATAATAAATCATAGTAGTTCACATACATGTTAAGGCATATAAGCCATTATTATCCTCTACCAAGCATCCTCGGTTAGTTCATGGCCTCTTATCACCATGCAGTATCTCATTGGATTATCCTTCCAATGGCTATAGTCTCGTATTCATTGGATTCTCGATTCATGAATTATGGTGGAAATGAGAACTATAATATTTATATTCACTAAAATTTCATCATTATCCTATCAATAAATGGAATATATCTAGACTTTTACTTCACTATCACATAGAGCATTGAAATAGCTTTCCAAGGCTTCTGACCGTGTATCAAATGAAGTTACGGTTCTTGAGTTATGGCGAAAATAAGAGGCTCAATATTTTTCTCAGTGCATGGAAGTTAGCTAAGTGAACCTGACTTCGCTAAGCAAACTAAGTCAAAAGCATAAACCCCTGTTTTTGCTCAAGCGACCTGTAGCGAGCTTGGGTAATACCTGAACACATTTTTGGTGATAAGAATGAAGGTGAGAAAAGTACACAAGAAGGGGGGGGGGGGAATTGTGTTTTCTGTTTTCTTAATTTGCACCTGATTAGAGTTTAGAATCTAAACTAGTGTTCAGATTCTAGTTATACTTAGCAGCGGAATGTTAATAGAAGC